AACTTTGTAAACTAAGTTTGACAATGGTGCTTGAAACATCCGTGGAATCATGCTCGACGTTCCAAATGCCAGTGTTAAATTTCTAGGCTTACAGGATGGCAGTGGTTCTGAATGTCCAATGTTCAGCACCGTCAATGTTTTTGTGATGAAAACGTCGGCCACAACCTCTCTAGCATGTCTGATAAACTCGCCAAATAATATGCCAAATTATTGGGCTATGTAAAGGATATAATTAAATATTAGAAATTAATTAATTTGACTAGAGGTAGGCAGTTATGCTGCCATCTGCATTAAATTTAATAATTATAAATAATTAATTTTTAATTTAGATATTTTAAAAATGTAATTTGGATTTAATCATTAAATTTAATATGAGATGGCAGCATAACTGCCTACCTCTAGTCAAATTAATTAATTTTTAATATTTAATTATAGCCTTTACATAGCCCAAGAATTTGTCATATCATTTGGTGTGTTTATTATATAACAGCTGATGGTTGTTGATGTTTATAGGTAATATGTGTGAACACAAGTTTGGAAAAATGCTTGATCATGAGCGACACTAAGATGCTAGCGGAATGAATGCTAAACACAGACTGATGGAGCATGCACATAATCTGGGTCTTCCCCTCTCCTCGTCACTCATTATGTGAAACATCGCTCATTAAGCAAGTCATTTTTTACAATTTGTTTTGCTTTGTATGCAAAATACTCATTATGTGAAGTGTTCATTAAGTGAGGTTCCACTGTACTAGAACTGAATTTGCTTTGTATGTGTAAGTTTTAACATAAGTTTTAATTTATTACTTCATTTATAAAATAATACATTTGAACAACATATAAAAGGAAAAGTAAACACAGTCTAAAATTAAATCACATACTTTAAAAAAAAATGGCTAAATCTTGTTTGTTTTTTTGCCAAAACTCCAGTCAAATGTAAGAGTATCATTCTAAAGGTTAGCTCACTTCTGACAGTGAATAATGAAAACAAGTGAAAAACTAAAAATATTTCATTTCATTCATTTCCCTTACATTTGCTTAGTGAAATTGATTTGCACTACAAAATGTGAAAAGTGAAAATTTTCAATGTGTTGGATTGGCAGTGTGATTTACTAAATGGGAAAATTCATTGAGAACTGTCATATTACATATTATTTGCATTTGCAGGCAATTCATTCTCAGCATGGAGTAACTTTACATAAATACATAATTTTCTTTTTCACTTTTTTAAAAACTCCTCTAAAATTTTTCCATTTTAAAGTAAATAATCCATAAATGAAAAAAAAAAATGTTATAGAATACCAAAAAATATCACACACAAATTAAAAATTTATAAATGAAGAGCATAACTGAAATGTTTTATAATGGAGAAAGTACTGTGCAGAAAATTTTTAACATATAATCATGAAAAACAAACAGTTGAGAAATGTATAAATTGGGTTCAACTGTAAACAGCAATTCCAATTAATAAAATACAAATATTGTATGTATTATATGTGTGTACTTTGCTTACTTCTAATCTAAGATATGTAATAAATTAATTTCTAGCTTTTAAAACAGTCTGCAAAATTAAAATATTAAATAATTTGTTTGACTTAAAAACTCTGAGATACTTGATCTATATATATTTCAATATATTTCATTCAAAAAAAAAGAACCAAATTNACTAATTATATTCAATATATAAAAAGAGAGATAAAATTCTGAATATTAACATTTAATTAATGAGAAAATTATAACTCATAAGATATCAATTCAAATAGAAAATTAATTTCTCTCTTTCTTATTTTAATAGCAGAAATATTCTTTTCAGTAGATCATTGACTCTTCTAAGAGAATCCATGCACATGTGACTATTGATTTTATGATATTTTCCTTTCATACCTAATCAATTTCAATAGATATTGTATTTAATCATGCTAATCTTTTTGATTTTTGTATTGTAACGATAGAAATTATCTAATATTAACAGTTTTTTATCTTTTCGTACACGAAATTAAATAAGTGAAAATTAACAAGTTCAAATAATTAATAATAAGAATTGATTTTAGTTTTGTTTTTATAGAAATGAATAATGCAGCAATTATTAGATGAAAGTATTAAAACAAATATACCTTATACCTAAATTTAACACTATGAATATTAAGTGGTAATTGTAGCATTACTTACGAATATCTACTTAATGTATACATTCTACCCCCTATAATTACGGTCCCTATAATTACGATTCCTATAAAACTACGAAAAAATTGTGACCGGTATCCGTAAAAAACAGTAAAAATTCCCTATAATTACNCAACTTTAAATAATTTTGAGTATTTGAGTACAAATCTATTCAATTCTTTCTGTTAATAAGACTTATTTAAAGTTTTGGTTTTATAAATTTTACACAATTTAAGATTTTTAGAAACTTATTTAATGAGTAAAAGATTTTGGTCTTTTTACTTTTTAGATTATGAATGAATTCTAAAATAAAAATATAAATTACATTCACATTATGTCTTTGTGTTTAAGAATTTACTATGTCGCATGCATTTAATATGACTGCTTTCTGTAATGTGATGTGCTTTTGTTAAAACCTAATGCTTCCAGATTTTTGTTTAGTTTATGTGGTATGATATGTGTGTGAGAAAGGATTATTGAAAAAGCTTAGCCCTTCTCACAAATGCTTTGTTTTATGGGCAAGTTCAGTATTAACTAATTTTTTCAGTGTGTATTTGTTGTATATTTTGGAGGTTTATAAGTTATGTCTATGTTGTATATGATTTGTTTTGTTTGTCAAGAAACATAATGTCTGGTCTGTTGTGATGGATTGTTTTGTCAGTGATTACAGCTTAGTAATAGTATATTTTCTGTGTTGTTTTCTATGACTATCAAAACCTTGTATTTGTAATATAATTGCTGGATGTGTGCTAGTTTGTGTTCGTGTACAAGCTTTTGATATATAATACAACCAAATAGCAAATTTGATTGTATTAATGTTAGTAGTCAATTCTTAGTCTTTTTTCAGGCAGATTTGATTTTTGCTTGATAAAGTTAATCAAATCAAGATTATCAAAATATTTATATATTTTTCAATGTGTATACAGTTGAATCTGTCTATCCCAAATCTCATGGCAATAAAAATTTCTGAGCTATATAGGTTGAGATATAGAGGTTCCAACACAGTAAATAGTAATAGGTTTGATTGGAGGTAAGGTATTTTATTTATACAATAGAAAGTATAGCATAGCCTGTATACAGTATAAATAAAAAAATATTTTTGATATATCTTAACAAAAATAGTTTTTCAATAGTTTCTGATGCTCAATTCTTATAATTTTCTTCATTAAGTTTACTAATTGCATTTATCAGAGATCTAAATGTCATCAAATAAACTATTTTTCCAATTGTTCAATGAACCAGGTAGTAGTTAAATATTCCGTTTTTTTTTTTAAAGGAGAATTGATACAAAGTTTAAGGTACTACTGACTATTTTCTTCAACGAATAAGATGCAAGCCAAACTCATAGCCGATCAGAAAAAAACAGCATTGATTGCAACTATGTATTGTATTGCAAAAATGTTTCTCAACAACAATTTATACTATTAAAATGTAGTTGTTGAGCTTTGAATTTGAAATTGACATTTCAATCAGATAATTTGAGATATAGAGATTTTGAGAGAAAATTATTTGAGATAAACATGGAAAATATACTGAATTTAGGCTGAAAACAAAGGGAAAAAAAATAAATTTCCTCAAGATAAAGAAGTTTTTCCAGATAATCAGATTCAACTGTATTTGTAAAGGATTATTGTATTTTATTTTGTTTTAGTTTTTAGAGTTGACTTCTTATGCTTCTTTATCTCTACTTTAAAAATGTTTTTGGATTTTTTAAATTTTACTTTATTGAATTTTAAAATTACATGAATTTGCAATTAAAATTTTTTATACTGAATATTTTAAGAATTTCTTTTATTTCCATAAAATATTGTATGATAAGTACAGTTTGTAATAAAATGTTTACTACTATAGTTTGTGTATAATTTTTAATTACAAGTTAACTTTTATTTTCTTTTGTTTTGAAATTAATGCATTTTGATCATTATTCCAATAAATTTTGTGATAAAAATTAAAGTTTTGGTAAATAGTAAGCAATTTTTTATCAAGTACAAAAAATTTTTGGGAAAAACATACTACCAAAAATAGTACACACAGAAAATTCTTGCTTGCACTGATAAGAGTTCATATTGTGTGCTATTTATTTTAAGAAGTCCATTTTTATTACAGCTTAAGCATTTTTTTTTTATAACAGATAACATTCATCTTCAGATCCAAAGTTCTAACTACATTTTAATTTAAAATGTATTAGGCAAAACAGTATTAAGAATATACAAGTTACACATAAGCAAAAATCTGAAAGTAGTCAGTTTGTGTTAAGCTTGCAACCTGATGTGATGTATATAACTTCATGTGTGATTTGGCATTTCCTACAAGTGTCATCTTAAGTTTTTTAAAATGTGCTTTCTATATTTTTTTGTATTTATGACATAGCTTTTATGGCAATTATGAACACTTCTGTCTCTCCAAAGTGACATTCACAAGTCAGCCAGCCATTTAACACAGTTCTGTCAACATAATCCTGGTAGAGATCATTAGGATGCCTACCATGGAGCTCCTTTTGAGCGCAAAAATATGATGATATTTGTACATTTTGTACACTGCGTTAGATCCAGGACAGTGTTATGTAGGTTTGATGTTTTGTTTTTGTCTTTACTCAAAAACAACAAAGGTTTAATGATTGCTTTAAACCTTTCAGTCAGTCTTTCTATGGATGACTTAAGATGATTAATATAATTTATGATCAATGTATGATTCCAAATGAATATGTCAGTACTGTAATTTGTGTGTGTTGATTGCATTAAGTGTGTGTTTTTATTTATTATTATTATTATAAATATCTAACTGAAATAATTAAGATTTAATGATGTTAAAAAAGAAATTATAAGCTGTGTCATAAATTATTGTAAAATATAAATTACCATTGGACGTTTTTTTACTTTGCTACTTTTTCTTAAAGAAAGTGCATTTTCTGATGGACAATCAGGAACTACAGCAATTCTGGATAATAATTCTTCAGCTCTAAGTTTTTCATATTTACCACCGATAGTTGCAACAATTTTATTAAAATCTTTATAAGCAGTTTCACAGCATATCAACGTCCTATCTATGTAAATGAAGTTTAAATTATTATTATTATACAAAATATTTTAAAATATTGATTGAAATTCAGAAGAGAAGTAATGATTAAATAAATAATTTCTCATAATAAAATACTAGAGTTAGAGATACAGTAAAACTCAATTTAATGTTTTGTTCAGGAAAAACTACAGATACAAGAAAATGATAGATGTGAAATCTACATAATAGTCTATACAGTACAGCGTTGATTATCCGAATGTCGATCAACCGAAACATCAGTTAACCGAAAGCGTTCCAGTCAAACTGTGTCCTGCTGAATCTAACGTTTTTGATACTAGATTAACTTTTAAAGTATAATTTTTTTTGTTTTTATATTTTTCAATATATTTATTTTCTTTGTACAAAATAAAGAAATAATTTTTAATGATACAATAGCCACAATTATTATTATAAAAATTTTCGTTAGGATTAACATCGACAAAAATTCAATGCAAAGCGACACGCAACAGAGAAAAATTTAAACATGGGATATATTAATATACTATTATTGGGATATACTGATATTCTATATTAATAATGTATTTTTTCGTACATAATTGGTTATCCGAAAAATCGATTTTCTGAACAACCCCAGTCCCCAATTGATTCGGATAATCGACGCTCTACTGTATATATAAGCCCTACAGCATCTATTATTTTCCTGCCCATAAAAAATAATCCAGTCACAGTTGTTTGTATGTATTTACCAAATCAAAAACTTATACCAATGATATTTTTTTACACTGTCAAATTCAACCTATATTACTTTCTGAAGACATCATCATCATTAAACTTCATTTGTTCAGTAATACTCTTCCTTTTCAAAGTGAACAATAAACTTTAAATATTCACAATGTTTGCTTGACTCTTTTAATAATATCACAATCATACAAAAATACCTTTACAGACAAAAATACATGAAGTACTTCAGTAAAATATGGCTCAGTTTGACTTAGATTCATCATCATCACTGCCTTCCCTTCCTCCCAAGACTTCTACTTTCCATCTTGCAACACATTTCTTCCACACACAGCAAACATGTTGCAATATGTGTAAGGATGTACGACTTTGTCATCACTGCCCAATATCTAATTCATTAGGTAACCAAAACCCAGAAAGCAGGTGTCATGCTGCATAGGGTCAAAATCACCACTTGGTGATATTTTTATTAAAGTGGTGATAAAAATATAATACTGGCAATAACAAGTTGCAATAAAATCCTAGTCCACTTGTTTTGACATTCAGCATGAAATTGAATCACAAATCACCCTTTAGGAAAAACAGCAAAATGTCGAGCTTTTGCACCACACATCTAGCTATTTAATGACATCACGCATTTGGAATAAAATTAGGAAGGGACATCGAGAACCAAAGATAGTTTTGTGCAATGCCACCCACCATTTTCAGAATGTGTTTTCAGATTGGGATTTTTTATCAACTGACAAAAATTTTGGAATTTTTTGGGATGCCCTTTTTCACTTTGATCTTTTTTCCAACTGAAATTTTGACATGACAGAACCTGTGAAATACTGTTTAAACATTGTGATCAAATGTGTTATTCAGAATTATTCATGAACTAGGTGCTGTTCAGAGTAAAGTCAAGAAATTTTAACTGTAAAAGTATTTTTAAATGTAAATAAGTAATTTTAAGCAAGATGTATACCAGTTAACACCTCCTTACAAGAAATGGTGCATTGTAACCTATTATAATATAAAGCAATTTGTACTATGAGAAATTCATGTTCATGTTTTTATTATGTAGTCTGGAGATAATTAGAATCATTGCTAACAATAACATCAAGCAATATAAAAGATCAAATGCATGTTGAACTGTTTGGTACCTATACAACTAAGTAAAAACATAAGTGATTTACACTTACAGGCTGTGCTGCCAAGTCCAGTTAATGAGATATTACTAACAAGATAAGTACTAGAGCAAAATAGCAAAATTATTATATCAACAATATCAATCTTTTTATCTCTAGGAATGTAGAAAGTTGCTAAATCTCTAAATTAGCAATTATAAACTTTATATTTTATCATCAAAAAGTATAAAAAAAAATCACCATTTCTGGCACACAAACAGAGTTTCACAACAGGACTAGATTCTCTCCACCTTTTTCCTCCAGCCAGAGGCGGCGTAAGGCGTGGGCGACGTGGGCCACTGCCTACGGCCTCGCGGTCCATGGGGCCTCGCGCCTCGAAGGTTTATGCATTACTTAAAAAAGCTGTGAACGCAACAGAAAAATTTTTTCTTGTCATAAAACGATAAATATATTGACATAAGAGGCCAAGAAAACGAAAGGCTAATTCGTGAATCTCAAAAACATTAGCACAATTTGTTTGAGAGATTAATTGATATCATTAATTTTTTATCCTCTCATAATCTGGCATTAAGAGGTCACAGAGAATCTCTCAAGACAGACGACGGCACTAGGAATTCTGGTAACTTAATAGACTTATTTAACACCACGATTGGTTCTATAATAAGCAATATGGATTCGAGATTTATGTCTTTAAAATGAAAATTTGAAAATTTTGGTTTTCTCTATGATCTAAGCGAGTTAAAAAATATTCCAAAATAGCAAATATTAAAAAACTGTCAAGATTTACACTCAGTCCTGCGAGTGGGTGAGAGCAGTGGCTTCCAACCTTACGAATTATATGAAGAATTACAAACAAATGATCCCAAATTTACCCAACTTCATTAAAAATGTGAAACGGCTGCTCCAATACACAACAGAAAATAACTTGAAAGAAATTTACCCAAATATTTCCATTGTCATTCGAATTTTGTTAACAATACCGGTAAGTACTGCCTACACTGAAAGGAGCTTTTCAAAATTAAAACTAATAAAGAATTATTTAAGAAATACAATGGGCCTGGAAAGACTTTCAGATTTGGCAGTTTTATCTATTGAAGCATATATAGCATCTAAGCTAAATTACGATACAATTATTAAGGAGTTTTTTTTTTTAACTCTTTCCGCCCTGTGGGCACTAGGAGGGCCTCTTTTTACAAGCCCATTATGGGTTCGGCCAGGCCCATAATGGAGCTGCCGGGTGGTGAGGATGGGGCCCGACATATCCGAACAGACCACCCCCCGAAAAATTCCTGGGGATTTTTCGACCCGTTCAGATTTGAGCCCGGGTCCCCCAGAGCGGTAGGCTGCCACCTTGACCGCTCGGCCATCCGGCCGCATATTTAGGATTTAATTATTTCAGTCGAAGCGGTAGGCTGCCACCTTGACCGCTCGGCCATCCGGCCGCTATTATTTAAGGAGTTCAGTAAGGCTAAAAGCAGGAAATTTCTTTAATGTTAGTCAAAGAATATAATTTGAATTTTTATGAATAAAAATTTGACAGTTTCAACTGCTTTTTATTTTATAAAATCCGTCTTCTTGCACCACCAGAGGGCCTCGCGAAATGTACTTTGCCCACGTCAAATTTAGGTCTTGCTACGCCACTGCCTCCAGCTCATTTGTCTAACAGCTAAGACAAATGCAAATGTGCAAGGTCAAACTAACTGTACACAGTCAAAAACTGCTTTTTGCTACATGTCCCAAAAATATCAATTCCTGTTACTATTACTGATGACTAACATTTGTGTGTCATGTGTTGCTCTACCTTAAAAATGGATTAGTCTAGGATCAACATTATCCAGGACTAAAACTCCTGACCAATAAGTATGGAAAAAATAAGTTCAGAAACAATCAACATGGAGTTAATTTCCCTAGTTTAGACAAGACTTGTTCAGGAAACTTAGAAATCGAATGATATTCCAGGAAAGCAATACACTCAGAAACAACAGACTGAGGTTTAACTGTAAATATTAATATCAGAATAAAAATATAAGTACTTATATTGTGTATTATTTTCCTTATAAGTCAATTACTTATTACAGTATTCCATTCACAAATAATCATTATTACATTATGTACAACAAATAATACAATTACAGTAGAAACTACATTATCCAAAACAGTTCTCAAAAAAACTTGAATACTGTATGTAGCATTTTTACATATCACAGAGTATAATATGTAGAGACCAAACTCTTCAAATAATTGAAAACTATTAAGTCAACAATTGATTATAGCATCATAAAACTAAGTTGTGTATATATAACATTATGTTAGATTTTGAGCATATTAATTTACTTTCAAATACATTATTCATAGTTCATGTACAATACTTTAGCCTATGTATTTAAAGCCAATACACGAAAAAATACAAGTTTCTGGATTATCCAAAATTTTGTTTATCCAAAGAATCCCTGCTCCCATAAAGTTTCCACTGTAGTTATTGTAAATAATAGTTTAATAATCAGTAAAGCAAATTTATAAACAGACTAGCTACAACCTTTATAAATAAAATTTTATGTATGTTTTATACATTACCTTCAAATAATTTATCTAGAACACTTTTGACTGGAAATTCTCTCTCTCGTTCTGCTTGCTCTGTTAAAATATTTTCTGTAAATTTGACATTACAATGCCCATTGGTCAGTGCAGAAATATAAGCTATCATTGTTGAAACATCCAAATTTAATGCTGCTTCTGAAGGTAAAGAAAATACATCATGCTTATAAGATGATTCAAGATTATTTTCATGTTGTTCTCTCAGAGGTAAAGTATTGTCTGCTTTAAAATTATTAAACTTATAATAATCTTTAATGAAAACCAATTCATTTTCAGAATCATCAGAATCTTCACAACTAGAACTAACTTTATCCTCAGCATCAATAAAAAAAATTGGATCATCCTGAATATTATCTGCAATTACTTCTATACCTAGCTTTTCTATTTTTTCCTTTAAATGCCTTGTAATTCCTGAAGTAAACCATACTTTAATGCAAATTGACTGATACATATATGGATTCTGTTTTGCACATTCAATCATATCTTCAAGTTGTTTAATTATAGTACGTCTTCCAAATTCACAACTCCCTAAAAAAAAAAAGCACAAAAACGAAATACTGAAATTTCTTCTTAAGCATATTATACATTAAAACCTCATTAAGTCAAAATTTAAGGGGTAAAAAAATTCCAAATTTCAAGTTAAAGAGTTTAATAGCTAATTTTCTCAATTTTTCTGTGGGTGTAAATTTCTCATAATCAAGCCATTTATCAACAATCTTTTCAGAGTGATTATAAAATTGTATCCAGTTTATGGTGCTTTTCAGCACATTATTAAGGTGGTTCCTTGTGTTCCAATTAGAGCACTGATAACATACTGTATCAGTAAAAGGATGTGAAAGGTTGTGATGGCACGGAATCATAATATTTGTTTACCTTAATTGTCTGTATTTACACAGAATGTAAGAGAATATGAAGATCACACACTATCAAAAGGATGGAAGTACACAAGAAAATAGGTTTGAGTTAAAAGTACTAACAATTTTCCTTTAACAAGACTGTATTATATTGAAAACCTATATACAATGCCTGTAGACAGCTGAGTTAACAGAACTTTGAATAAATAATATTTGACTTAGTGAGGTTTTGCTGTATTATTTTAACATAGAAAATTTTAATCAAAGTTTAGTTGTATAAATAAGCCAAAAAAATTTTAAATTTCTACATACAGAAGAAGTTTGTGTTAATAGTATAAAAAACTTTTTTATCTGTAATGATCCAGAAAAAACACTACATTGCTCTTTTTTTGTCTCAGTCCTTTGTTTACAACTCCTGTATTGTTTGTCCACATCAGTAATTTACTGCCACATTCAAATAAAAAATGTTTTAAAGACTTGTTTTCATACTCTTTCTTGTGATTGATTTGTAAACAAATAATTACAGTACCAGAGGGCTGGATTTAAACAAACTATACAAAGTCTGTAGACTTTGTATAGTTTGTTTAATCAGTAGATCCCAACTTTTGTGCTGCAGCACACTGGTGTGTTGTAAAGTCATTCTAAGTGTATCACAATTCTAATAATAAAATATATTACTATGTGTTATCAACTGTATTTTAGAAGTTTGTATCAGTGAACTATCATAGAAAAAATATGAGAGAGAGCTATTGATCAATCCAATAACATTTTATTAAATGTGCTGCAATCTTAGAATCATTGTTTAAGTATACCAAAGGTCCAAATAAGGTTGGAAACTATTAGTCGACTTTGTATTATGCTAAAAGAATATTATGAACAACATAGCTTGTTAGAGCTAGGATATATTTTTATGTCCAGTAACATGCCTAACTGATGTATTTTCTTTCTCATAAGCTAATGTAAGGGCAGTACACCTAAAAACTCTCTTACACTCAGAGCAAATGTACCGTACCCAGGGCTGTGGAGTCGGAGTTGTGGAGTTTTGATGTTTTAGCCAGAGTCGGAGTCGGATGGTAAGGAAAAGTCAGAGTCGGAGTCGGTAGATTTTTACGCAACTTCCACAGCCCTGGCAGGGCTGTTGAATCGGAGTCGGAGCCATGGAGTTTTGGTGTTTTAGTTGGAGTCGGAGTCGGTAGATTTTTACGCGACTCCACAGCCCTGACCGTACCTTTTGTAAATCATATGTACCCTATATATTACGTCTGGAAAATAATTATTATATACATACTATGAATTATTATAAATGTTGACTTTGTGCAGTAATATGTTCCTTAACATTTTTTTTTTTTCAGATTTTTCAATCAATCTTAACACAATGTAGTCATGTGCTATATCATAGTTAGACTGATTAAAGAACAAATCAAAAGCACATAGCAGCATATACTTGTACAAAATTTCTAGCAATGTCCAGAACACACTTAAGTTACAAAATATTGCAAAAATATCTGGCACAATGGCATTTTTTTATAATCCAGCACCATTTTGGTCCAATATGTTCAGATTAATAAACTTCTAATTGTAATCAATTTTTAAAAATGTTATATATGGCAAAATTCCTCCATCTTATATAGAAATAATATATAGTCTGTATTTACTCATTACTCATATACAGTAATACCCCGACTAACGCGAACCTGGAGTTACGCGATTTTCAAATCTCGTCGATTCGTCTTTTGTTTGAGCGCCACGCAACCCTTGATTACTCACTCCCCCACACTATTGTTCAGCTTACATGTTCGGATGTGTTGCACAGAATCCACACATAGCTACAATTTATTTTGTGTTATTTATTTCTGTGTTTGTTATATCTACGGAGACTCGACAGACTCTACTATGTCATCCAAATGAAGTAGAACTAATTCTTCTGAATCAAACAAGAAAAGAAAAACTTTATCTTTGGAATGTAAAGTTAAAATTGGGTATGTTTGTAAAGTTGAACGAGTTAAGTGAGAATGAAGTCATCGTTATTCCTATTTCATTAGACTTTTCGAACGATTTGTTACTAACCTGTTTAACTCGTTTGACTTTACGAACGTACCCATTATTAAAGACTTCGATACAAAAATGAAAATTTGTGAATTGGCAAAGAAGTTTGATCTACCGGAATTGTCGGTCAGAACAATTATAAAAGGCAAAGAAAAAATTCTCGAAGCTGTGAAAAATGCTCAATCTTTAAATTCAAGCATCATTCGTAAACGTCACAGTATTATCGCTGAGATGGAAACAATGTTAAAATTATGGCGTAATAATCAAGTAAATGTGAAAAATTGTAAAATAATATAGGCCTAATTTGTTATACATATGTATTATCTAAGATTTTATTAAACATTTTTTTCTAAATTATTGTTTTCTTTAGTCTCCGGCCCCAATTAAAAATTATTTGTATGTATTTATATGCGAAATTATACCTCGACTTACGCGGTTACCACTCAGTCCCACCTATTGCGTAAGTTCGGGGTATTACTTTATAGGAATAATAATAAGCAAAGTATATGCATAAAATGATAACAAAAAGCATTTCTTTTCTTCAAATACCAAAATTTCCTAAATTAATTAAAATTCAGAATTAATTTCTATAGATAATTATTAATCTTAATATGAATCTGTCTACTTAACAGCTTAACTGTCTACCTTCAGAACAAATTCCATAATTTAATTAATTAGTAATTAGCTTAATTCTAGCCTGAAAATAATCTAGCTTTTAGATATATTTGGCTAAAAAGTTTCAAATTTCTTATTAGAAATATAAATATCTTTTTCAATATTTGATAAATACAGTAGTTAGTAAACAAGTAATAATAGAGTAGGTCTAAATAGTAAAATGAGTGAGTAGATCTAGAAATAATTTACTGTTATTTATATTCATTTCTTTTATATCCATTATTATATTAAACTTGCAAACTACAATGATAACAATGATGAAAATGCTTTCGCATTTCTATTGATGAAAATAAAGATTATTTTATCTTCATTTCATTAAAGCATATCATAATTTACATATCCATTATGTTCTGCTTCATTCAAATTAGATAGCAGTAAATACAGATTACTCTAAAGGAGGATATCTTAATTATATTTGTCATCTACACAAATTTAATCAATAGTAATATTTTCTTTGCAGATATTGCTGCACATTTTGTACAAATATATGCTGCTGTATGCTTCCAATTTCTTTACACATGCTCTTTAAACAGTCTAATGATGATACAGTACATGACTACATTGTGTTATTATTATCAGTAGTTCCCAGACTTTTTGGATTTATCCAAGAATCAAAGACAGTTCCGAAAATAACACATTTTGCTTCGAAGAATATGAGGAACTTTTTACATTTTTTGAACCGAAATCAGCAAAAATGCTTGATTTATTGTACTTTCTTGCAATTTTTTAAAATACATTCATAATTTTTGGAGAAATACTGTCACGTATAAGGCACTCAACCCGCCATCGCAAGCCCCGGCAAGGCGTAATAACCATCGATGGTTATATAGTTAGCTTCTATATGCTGGAAGAGGAGATCGGACTGGAGGTCCAGTTAGCGTAACTGGCAACGCATCTGCACGGCAAGCAGGAGTTGTGGGTTCGAGTCCTGCTCCGGGCCGATTTTTTCTCCCGGCGGTTCTAAATTATTTAAATTAATTAATTTACTGTCATGTATGTGGTCCTTGATGCTATTCGGGTTGTTGCTAAATTCAGCAGTGCTGCAGCAGCTGCAGGAAGCTTAAAGCAAAATTGTTGCTAATAAGTTTGTTGCATTGCTCTGCATGTAAAGCAAATGCCCAGTTTGAGAGTATAACTTACAGCAGCCTCGGAACGTTTTTTTTTTTTTTGTTTCATCAAGATGGCAGTGCTCAAAGTTTGATAATCCTTGATTATAATGTTATTTTCAATCTGTTAAATAATAATAAAATACATGAGAATTTAAGTTCTTGTTCATTGACTACTCTTGTTCAGCTTAATCGAGCATCAAAATGATGACATTTAACTAAAATGCAAAAGTATCTTTATAGTAAAATATCATAATCTTTCATCAAGGAACTTTGGCAAAAGAGTACATTTAAATCAATTAACATTAAATATCTCATTGAACTGTGAGATTATAGCCAACTGAAGATACGCAATAATGTTTCATCATCACTGTAGCATTTGGTGGTGTAAAATTAATACTCGGATGCATGCAGCTTCTGCTTCAGCAATCAATTCAGCATTCAATGCTGAATTTAGCAACGAGCGAATTGTTGGTACCAAAAAAAAACCATTTTGGATTTCAAAACAAAACCATCAATGTCATTTGTAAACAATGTTGCCAGATTGAATTACTTTATGACACATTCAGGTTTGTTTTAATTGATGAAAATAAAAATTATTAGCATCTTGACTATCTTTTGAGCTAATTTAATTTTATTCAGTAACTTTTCAGCTACTTTTTAATAAATTATTAGTGACAGTGTGAAGTGCAGAAGTGTGCTCAGCCTTGAGGTTTTATATTTGACTACAGACTAGAAAATTTAATGGGTAAGAATAAAAGTTCTGTGTCTCAACTTCTGCTGAAGTGGGCGAGGGAAGCAAACTTAGCTGAGCGAGACTTCACAGTGGATGGCACAAAATGTCCTGCAAGGTATGTCAAAATGCATTTGTGTACATGTCCATTTTAAGGATCATGTGTGTTCTGCAAGACACAAGCAAACAGCACATCAACAGGATCAAAGAAATATTTTTCTTAGATACAGCAAAGACCTTTATAGGATGCAGGATAGAACTGAAGCATCCCTTGCTCAGGAAGTACTTAGAAAAATACACAAAGCAGAATCTTCCTAATGAATCAACACTGTGGAAGAATTATGTTCCATGTGTTCGTCAGGACATTCTTGAAGAAATCCGCAAAGAAATTAGTGACAATGCTATATGGTTTGCTGTAGATGAAACTGTAGATGCATGTGGACAATATGTTGTTTTAATGGTAGTATAAAAACATGATGAAAAAACTGCACTAAAATTTATCATTTTTTATGTAACTTTTTGGAAAGGACGAATGCAGACGCAATAGCAAGATTTGTTCAGGAAGGTTTAATGCTCTTGTATAATTAAAGTTTTCATCATGCTTACAGAAGGAGGTTCAGTCTGTAAGCAAGATGAGAACTTTTTATATAATCTTATTCATGTAACCTGCCTGAATCACACTTTACATCTTCTGGCTGAACAAGTTCGTTTACATTTTAAAGATGTAAAAGTCCTCATTTGTTCTGGGAAGAAACTACTTGAAAAAGCACCAATGCAAACTACCTACACATCATGAGCATCTGCCAGATAATCCTTTGCCACCCTCTCCCATAGTCACAATATGGGGGCACATGGATAAAAGTGACAGTATTCTATGCAGATCATTTACTTGACTTTCAAAATTTTATCAATGAACTGGATGAATCAGAAAGATCTTTTGCTGTGGATGTTAATTAAGGAAGCTTCAGAGAATCTACATTTAATCATTTCTTTAGTTTACATCTGTGCCCATTTGTTAAATTTTTCAGATATCATTAAAGCATTACAACCAAGAGGGTTGTCACTTGAAGAATACCTAAAAATTTTTCAAACAATGGAGAATTCTATACAAAATATTCCTGGTTTATGTGGGGACAAATTTCACACAAAGTTGGTAGTGCTTCTGAAGAAGAACAGTGGTTTTTCTGTGTTTTGCCAAGTTAATAGCTGTCTAGTTGGAGATCCCTGAGGATGTTGGGCTTGCCAATGTACCTTCGCTGAAATACTATCCTGTGACTACAGTTGAGCATAGAGAAGTTTTTCATTGTATAAAATCATTCTTACTGACTGTCCACATAGTCTGACAGAAGAAAATATTAATAGATTTCTTGTATGTGTATGGTCATATTTAAACAGTTTATAATATTGTATACTGCATTAATTAATAAATAGGTAACTGAAGAAAATTTGATAATTTTGTTTTATTTTTATAATTAATTTTGTTCTGAGAATAAATCCAAAAACATGATCTTTTCGATCCGGGGCTTAGTTATTATAAAATTGATTGAAAAACCTGGGAAAGTGTTAATGAACATGTTAATGCCCAAGGTCTTTAGTACATTATATTGTCCAAATAAACTTTGATTTGCAGAAGACTATCACACTGGATCATTATCAGACAATTCCAGATTATTTTTCAGAGGTTGTTAGATTACCAGATATTCAAGTTTATCAAGAATGTATTCCTTCATGCAAACTTCTACTCTATAAAATAATATATTTTTATTTCTATTGGTTTCCTTTTCTGCAAATATTCAATTTATAAGCTGTAAATTAAAGAATTCATAATTGGACATTTACTCAATATACTTAAAACTCATTCTTACCAATTGAAGAATGTGCCATTGCTTGAGGATTTCGAGCTACAACTTTAATCCAACATTGTCCATCATTTGCCACAACATCTACTACAATTCTTTTTTGTTCATTTTCATCATATATGTTATTTACAATATATGAAAATGGTTTTAATATTTCAGAAACTTTTACAGTTGACATTGCACAACATAATATGGCTGATAAATGAGAAAGATTTGAACATCTTAAATGTTCATTCTTGATTCTTTCTGGATGTTTCAAAAGCTGAAATAAACATACAAAACTTTAATAAAAAAAAAAAAGATATGGAACATATAATAAAATAATGAATGTATATATATATATTTTTTAAATAAATTTAAAAATTCTAAAATTCTTATAAACTATTAAAAAATATAAATGTAAATGTTTAGAACAGATCTATTAGACATTTTATAACACAATTGAAAACAATGCTAATAACATGGATTTGATATCTGCTATAAAGTAAACACTAAAGCTCAAAAAGATGTTAGTGTGTTCATTTGAACTGCATCCAGTTGTATCAGCTGTTTATCTGCTATAAAGTATAATACTATAAAAAACTGAGATATAGAAAAAGTATTATTAAATACTATTCAAATATTACATTTACTTTCCTAGCTGTTATATAACAGAGGAAAAGTATGGCAATCAGTCAGAAAATGACCACCCAAAACAAAACATTTTTGGACTGGATCTTGAAATGTCAAGAAATGCAAAAAAGTTGGGGATGTTAGTGTGTGTGTGTGTGTGTGTGTGGACAGGAGATCTTTTCATTTACTTTGAATCTTAGTAACTACTGTGCCTTTTTTCGAAAATTTCTGAAATTTTACAGGGAGGTTTGTGTATTAAGATAAAATGTTTCAATGTGGAATCCACTGAACCAGTCTGGTCCCAAATATACAATTAAAAAAAATATATTTTTGTTAATTATATACAATATTAACCGAACTACCCAGCTTCACTTAGAAAATTATATATTGAGTAAAAGTAATATACTTATGTAAAAATATACACATACAAAAATGTATATACAAAAAATACATGTATTTATAATTCAATAAACTTATAATAGATCTGACCAAAAACAATTTTACCTCGAAAGAAATTCTAGGGACTCACTGAATTTGAAACAGGTGAAAGTGTCAATAGTGAAAATAGGTTCATACTATCTTACAAAGCTCTAGAAACAAACACTGACAAAGAGAAATGCTAGTTGCTTCATACTATGTAGCATTAACTGAATTAAAACATGATTCATTAATTCATTTACAATCATTAATTTTAAGGAAAAAGTTAATTGGTTGAATAAACTGAAGTTTAATAAAAGCCGAGATATTTTCAACTCCTAACAAACTAAAAACTCTGATCAAACTGTCACCAAATGGGCACAAACTGGCAGTTTGTATTCCAACATTAACCTAGCTCAATACAACAGGATCACCAGCTTTCTGCCATTTCCCATTAACGATAAAAACATTAGCCCATTGTATTTCAAGTTCTTAATAATTATATATCATATAATTCTGTTATGAAATAAGTTTATGATTTTTACTCATTTTAGAGTAATCTTTCATGTCAAAATGATGATGATAAATGATTAAATACATTATGTTTCTATGTGTTTATTTTACTAAGTGTACTATTTATTCCATCTCACTATAAATCAATTGAAAGAAATTTTTTCTACATAATGCTAACTAAAATCAAAGCATATGTATGTATGGTGTCGATCCCTGTACCAAAAAAAAGTAAATATCATGCTTAAAGAAGACTTTTAAATCTAAATAATTCTAGTCATCATATGCTGTATATGTTGATTTTAATTATAATTAACATATAAAATATACAAATATATGCATATAGATATCAAATTAAACAATATTGTAATTTATATTAAAAAATAAAACAAATCCTCTTCATATACATAATTTACTGTTTATATTAGGGCAAAAAGTAGCATTACACACAAAGCAATTAAAGTAACGGCTAGACAGCCGAGCAATTACGGTATCAGCCTACCACTCGAGAATCCTGGACAAATCCGGAAGCATTGGTGTTCGTTTGTTTAGTTAAGTTGCAGCAACACAACACTTGGACGATCTGCCTAGGGGAATGCCTTCCGGGAGGTCTTTTTTAAGGGTAACAGGCCCATATTCGGGCGTTACAGACAAGAAAACCCAGAAAACTTCACGGGGCCAGCTCGTCCCGGCCAGGCGCAAACCCACGACAAACTCCCATCGTTCGGAGAATGGAACCGCTCGGCCACCGGTGGGCCGACGCATCGATAAACCCCAAAAACATTTTCGGAGTTCGTCCGTCCAGTTATGTCGGCCCGGTCCCTCGTCGCCGGTTGCCGGCCTGGCCGAACCCGCTAAAAAGGCCTCGGTGCCAACGGAGAAAAAACTTTTAAAAAAAACCTAATTAAAGTCCAATACAAACAATATAAAATGTAATCATTTCGACTTACTAATTTTAAATTTCCACTTTATTTTATAAAATTCTAGGACTATATTAAATTTTAAATCAACAAATTTTGGTATTAAAAATAAAGGTTTTAATTTACTTTTCACTCAAAACAGTCAAGAATGTAATCAATTTACATAATGCAGAATAGCATGGTCTTACTTTACAAAGAAACTTTAATTCGGCTTCTATTTTCTTCTGTAACTTCTTCTGCCCATCTTTTACTTTCAAATCTTTGCATTTATTTATTAATTCTTCGGCTTCTTCGATTTTTGATTTAATACGGTCTTGGTAACAAACTTCTGAGGCCATAACTTAGACGTAACAATGACGTCATTTTTGTTAAAATGACAGATCAGCTGATGATGTTAACGACGACGAAATTTTTATATAAATTATTGTTCGATTTATGATTATCTGATTGGATGATATGTAAAATATTTTTTAATTAAAAAAAAATTTAAATTTTTCGAAATCGAAATTTAACCCGCGTACACGTTGACGTTTCGTTTTTGGTGCGCCCCCATTTGGAATAAATTGATAAAATTATATACGCACGTGCTGAATTTTAAATGGAAGATTATTACGAACATTTTTAACCGCTCGGTCATTTGATCTGGCAAACATTAATCTGTTGATTTTAATATCTCTTTTGAAATTTTAATTTTTATTATTTTAATTTCTCGTTATAAAATATAAATAGACATTTATATGCAGTACTGTACATCTCTGAAGTTACAAAAATAAAATTTAAATCCAAAAACAATTTTAAAATATAATTTAATTTGAATTATTTGGGTAGTCATAATATGGCTAACTGTGAATATATTTTAATTAACGATAAAATTTAAAGTGTAGGAAAAATGGAGATTTCTTAGAATACAGTAATTTTAGTAAAAAAAAATATGTATACACGAATAAAGGTTGGCAACACTGGCTCAGATCAAGTCAAGTTACAATATGGCGGAATCCATTATTCGAGTTACGTTTGATTAAAGAATAAGTTTTTAACGTAATAGTCGTCTTAGGTATTTACGCATTTAAAAGAATTATCAAGATGTCATCTGCTTCGGCGCTTGCGGCTGTTGCTAGCCAAGTTCAATCGACGGCGGGAGCCATTCCCGTCGTCAATGAGAAAGGTTGGTAATTTTCATTTTATAAAATACACCGAAAAATTGTATTGAGCTTTGTTTCTCAACTGGCCGCTCTTATTCTTCTCGGTTAAAAGCATGCTAATTGTTTATAAGCCACACGCTAACTTAATATTGTTTACGGTATTTGAATTAAAATTATAATTGAGTTTATTGGGTTATATTTAGACTAATTTTAAATCAATTTAAGTAAGTAATTTGAGTAAAGATAGGTGAAGTGCAAAAGGTGAAAGTTCACCAATAGTTTAAGAAAACCCCATAAAAAATTTCCTAGGCTAGGCCTCCGCTTGCAATTTCTAGTCGCGGCAACCAATAAATCACTGCTGCAAAAAATCTATACTGTGTGCATGCTGTGATAGATAAATCATTGAATTAGAACAGTTTTCCAATGGATGTCATTGAAACTACCGGTGTGATTGCTGTTTTGCTTTAGGCGAGATGTAAATGGAAGCATCGTTATTGGATGTACCCAATAATGAGCCAAAGATTATTGAAAGCAGGGCTGCGGAGTCTGTAAATAAACACTCGACTCTGGCAAAATTAAATACCAAATCATTTTATGGGGGCAGAGGCGCTCATAGGTGTATTCTACTCTGAACTCTAAAAGGAGCTCCGGGCATTTACCCAAATACTTTTATACGTAGGCTGTTTTTCAAGCTCCGATGGTCCATAAAAAAAAAACAAAAAAACAATTGTAAATAACAAAATGAATTTATTACCAAAAGTTAGGTACAGACATGGTTACTTTTTGACATAATCACCGTGAAGATTGAGGCATTTGTCATATCTGTGGATGAGCTTTTCTATCCCCTTGTCATAGAATGTTGCCGTTAGTTCAATTAAAAAGTGTGCGATCTAGCTACTTCAGCTTCTTGTTCAGAAAAGAAAAATATGAACTCTGATCAATTAATCTGGTTCATTCAGAAAAATAGAGTACTTATTTAGAGCAGGGATAATAAAGGAATGATCCAAAATATTTAAATTCAATTGGGTCAAAATAATTTTACTACTAAACACAAATACTACAAAGAACACTACAAATTTAATAAATTAAATTGATGTATTTTGTATTTAAAATAAATGAATTATTACAAAATATAAAAAGATTTTTAAAAATTAATAAATATATAATAAATTTTATTTCATTTAACTAAAAAAAAACTAAAGTAAATTTAAAATGTGGGAGTCGGAGCCGACACATTTTTTTCCAACTCCGACTCCTCTGGCTAGAAATTCCTCCCGACTCTGATTCCACAGCCCTGATTGAAAGGGCAGTTTTACAAGTTATTTGAAGATTTATCTGAGCACCCTGCAAAGTTTTTCCAGTATTACCAAGTGACAAAAAGTAGTTTCGATGAATTGTTGGGAATAATTGATCTATAATAACATATAATGACACAATGTGGAGAAAGTCCATACAAAACTGCAACTAGACTATCGCAAGTAAGTGCATGTCCATGTCTGTCTATTGGATAGAGCGACAGTCACATCGCAGCGAAAATAGGACCGGTTGCAATTTTTTAATCACTGTGATTGTTTAGTTACTAGTGTATGCACTTGTATTGGAAACGATGAGTTTTATTTTTGCCACTGAAAAATTGTGTGACTAGAAATCGCAAGCGAAGGCCTAGCCTTAAGAATATTTTTGAACCATTTTGATGGTTCAACTTTTGTTGGTTACAAATCTATTAAAGCTGAATAATCAAACTGGTTCAAAAATGTTTGTGATTAAAGAAATTTTTGCTGGAATTTTAAGATGTTTGTATGATTTCATTTTCGTGTAATTTACCAGTTATTTTTGGTTATTGAATATACCATGCAGATGTGTAACTAGTTATACTATCCAGACCCCTGTCATATCTATCTCAGATTTACATATTTTAAACCAGAGTTTTTTCCATATTTTTAATAGATAAAATTTAGTTTTTTAATCTCAAAAACTGAATACAAATACATTGACCCTAAATGTGTATATTGAATTATATAATAATGCTAATAAATGTTTTTATAGGTGAAATTTCTATGCAAAAGGTGAAAGTTCACCGATACATTTCTGGAAGAAGGTAAGCAATATTATTATCAAATAAAATGAAATACATGTGAAATGCTCATTTAAAATATTTTAAATTGTTTTATTGCTATTTAAATTTAGAACTGAATATTTGTTTGAGTTACGTATAATGATGAAAAGCTTGAACAACACCTTAAATACTTTTTTCAGCAACCCTTTAATTTCTTTAAAGGAATGTTTTTGACCCTTCTCAAAGGTCTGTGCCAGATTTAACAAGAAGGTTCACACTGTTTAAGAAGACACTTCAAATCTTTTTGTTAAACCTGATGCAGACCTGTGAAAAGGGTCAAAAAATGTTCCTTTAAACAAATTAAAAGTGTTGCCGAAAAGTATATAAGGTGTTGTCCTAGCTAAATTAGTTTTGGCCTATATAGAAGTGCTTTTTAATGATAAAATGACTTTTGTATTATAACTAAATATTAACGTTTTTGTTATGATTTGCAAATGATGCTGTAATATGTTAAATTTTTTAATGTTTTTCACGTGATTCTAAGTAAAAATTAATTTTTCAAGATGAATCAGTCTAGGCATTTGATTCTTCTTTCCCTTGAATAAGTACATGCAATAGTACTGTACATTTAGGAAAACCTGGCTCGAGTGAACAAATTCAAAACTTGGTTAATTCTTGATGATGATGATTATTCATTTGACTCATTGCATCATTTTCCGAATCCCATTTAGTGTTAAATACAATGGAATTACAGCTTATGTGAGGCATGCTGATTGTGAGAAGCATTAAAAAAGAAGTGCATCTTCTCATTACCTTCCCCCTCCCTGGTTGGCCAACAAAACAAAGTTTTCAAAGATGGTGACTTTAGATGACACGATGGGGTAGATTTTTTTGTTAGTAAAAGGGAATTAGCTGTGGGGTAATTTTGCAATATTAACTTTATCTGCAGTAAGATTACAAATTTATTTTCTACTTCACAATAAGAGCCTTCATATCTACATATAAATGGAGAATTTTCAGGTTTCTTTCAAAAGATTGATTCTGGATTTCCCAATCATTTTTTCCTTAAGCTTGATGTTTATTAATTAATGAATGTATCATGCTTGTAATGTAAATCATTAATTTTTCTAAACTAAGATAAAGTTTAGAAAGTATTCAAAAGAATTGGAATCTGGAGTTTTCAGCAGAATCGAAATCAGGAGAAATTTTGGTATTGTCCCATCACTAAGCATTTTAAAAACATTTTAAAATTTCAAGTGGTTAATGCATCTTAACCACATGGAAAATGTTAGTTTTTTGTGAAATGTGCCAAGAAAGTTGTCATTAAATCTAAATTTTTGTAGCATTTTAGTGACAGCTTAAACCCTGCCACAATATGAAAATTTTTAAAATAACATAAAATGTTTTAACCTATTCAAAAAACAGTCACTATAATATGGTAATAACAACAATCATTTTCAATAAAAATTCTTTAATACAGTACAGCATCATTTATCCAAATCAATTGGGGACTGGGGTTGTTCGGATAACCGATTACATACGAAAAAAATATTAACCTATCCCATGTTGAAATTTTTTTCCGTTGTGTGTCGCTTCGCGTTGAATTTTCGTCGCTGTTAAGCCTAACGTAAACTTTTTAAAATAATAATCGTGGATATTGTATCATTAAAAATTATTTTTTTATTTTTTACAAACAAAATAAATATATTGAAAAATACAAAAACAAAAAAAAATTATACTTTAGAAGTTAATATAGTATCAAAAACGTTCGATTCAACATGACACACAGTCCTCAGAAAAACACCACACATAAGTGCCAGTGCTGCCAGCTAAAACATGGATTAGCCCAAGACATAGCCAAAGATTGCAGCGCCACAGCACTAGCGAAAATTTAAATTTGCTGACTGGAATTCTTTCGGATAAACGACACTCTACTGTAAATAAAATTCAATTGACACAATTGATTTTAAAATGCCAGATGGTATTATTATATTTTGAGACATATATTCCAAATACTGATATTCAAGCCATTCTCAACATGACTCAAACAACACATTACAACTATCATTACTTCTTCTTCTTATCTTGATATTTATACAGTTTTGCAAAAATTAAACAAAATCAATCAAATATTTTCCACAGGAAAAAGGAGTAAGGATTCATTACACAATTTTTAATTTGTACATTATATATTTCAAATAATTTTAAGTTAGCCAGATATGCAGTTTTTATTATGCAAATTTGAATGTGTGTCTTATAGTCTAGTTTATGCCATCTTAAAAAAGACTATGAGAAATATTTAAGGAGGAAGAAAGATTTATTTGGGATAATAAATACAAAAATATAAAATATTCTTTCTAAATAACAATTGTTATTGAGAGTATATTACTGTTAGTAAAAATGCAAAATAATAAATCTTAAAATTAGTATAAAATACATTTTAAATATATTTTTGTTTATTTCAGACCAAAATATGCACCAGAAGAAAGTAGTGAAGAGGAAAGTGGTGACGAATTCCCATTTGAAAAAAAGCAGCAAGCACAAATTGCAGAAAATGTACCCATTGACAAAGAAGCAGAAAAATTTGATCGTCGACTCAAACGTCTACAAAAGCAACAAGAGGAAGAAGATAGTGAGGACAGGTTTGTTAACATTCAAAATTTATGTACGATTTAAAATTTTTTTTAATATATCATTTATGGTTTGAAAAATTTGTTGTCAAATTGATATTTTTGAATGAAATTATTCCTTTTCATGATAATTACTAGTTCCAAATTATGTAAAACCTTGAAAACTTTAACTATACATGTATTACTTGCAAAATGGCAATGATGGAATATCATAAAATGTAGCATTTTAAGCTGAATTTTTATACTATTTTCAAAATTATATTTAACTAATATTTAATAGATAATAGGAAATATGATCAGCTTATTAACATCAGGATTTTTAATCATATGAAAATCTAATTTTTAATAATTGTCATAGTCATTGTCAAGTGCTACCTATTTCAGAATCTTGTTTAAATTATAAATTACAGTTACTTTTATAGTTGAATGTCAAAATGAATAGACAAATTTTTTAAACAAAATTATATTACTATACATTTCATTTTTTTCTAATATTGCATTATTAATACTGAGAGAAGCTGGGGGTTAGAGGGCAAAGCTCTAAACTCTTTTTCTGATGTTGGGGATGGCAAGTCCTTGCTCAGTTGTCACTGGATGACTATTAAATGTAGTTGTCTCAAGATCATTACATTTTGAGGATGGTTTTCCTGACACCAGTTAGGATAGTTGTAATTTGCATCCTAACTTGCGATTATGCGAAATTATTGGCAAATAGGAGGGCTATATGTCGTGTGTGGAGGTCGTTGCTAAGTCAATAAGGTGTCGGTAATACATGAGTAAGAGCAACTATCGTAAAATTCAACAAGTTTAATAGAAAATTAACAGATTACAATATATAGCTAGTTATTAAACGTATGCACTGCGAGGTTCTGTGGATACCACCCCGCATTATGACCTACTTCTTAAGAGAGAGAGAGTTTACAAGTACAGTACAATAACTTGTGTCGTCAACTCGATGTTTCTCAATCTGGTTCATACGATGTCATTGAGACTATCGTGGATCAAGTGTTGAGGGTATGTTGGCTGAGGTAATGTTGGCGACCAGTAGGGAGACTTTCCGAGAAGTGAATATCCGGAGGGGGGAGCCGGGGAGATGGTCTGGAAGTCACACAAGTCACAGAGCAAGAGATACTCCTTTGGGATTGATCTCTCTGACAATTGTGTACTCAGCCATTATATCCCCATCAAGTATGAGAATTCAATCAGGTGACCTATTGTTTGGAAGTGATGACACTGAATGTGTCGTTGACAAGCCAGCTAGGGCAGTAAGAATTTGACTTCTTGTTAGATTCATACTGTGAATTTGTTTAACTCTTCGACATTCTCATGTGTCAATAATTAGCTGTTATAATTTTATTTTGATACTTTCTCACATTGATGAGGAGGAGAAGGGACTTTTTGCATCAAAGACCCCCTTTTAACATGAGTTTCTCTAGTTGATTGTTTACCATTAAACTAACCCCTGATTGTCTCTTTTCCTAATTCCATGGGAAACAGATGGAACAAAGAAAATTTCTTATACTTGGCTTTTTGCTAGAATTTATGATAAAGTATGCTCTCCAGATCTCACAATACTATATCATTAGGGAAATTTCTGAAACTGAAAATATTATATTCATTTTATTTAATATTAATTGTAAAATAGAGTATACTATAAATTAAAAAAAATTTTTGACAAACTTTTTTTTTTGTTTATTTAATTAGTTATTTTAAAAATTTAAGTTAAACAGTTAAATTATACTGCTGATCATACTTAAAATACTTCTATATTTAGTGCTATTTAGAAAAGTATTTATTACTCCAAATGCAACCAAATCTTGGCATTTCAGGATATGTAAAAGACATTTTTGTAAAAAGAAATTACTACCAATGTCACTTCAGGCAATAAAAAAGCAGTTTCATTTGTGGGACCACTTAAAAAATGTAGTTTATCAAAGACATTTTGCAAATTTGGAAGCCTTGAAAGACAGTATCACATTCCATGTGATAAACATCACAGAGGTTCAATTATGATCACTCAGTACTTGAATTTTTAAAATAATCAAGTAAATTTAAATAAAGAAAGCTACATACTTAAAATAAAATTTTACTGCTCATAGAATTGAAAGACATCGACATATTCATGAACCAGAAGTTATAGCATTAGGAGAAGTAAGTGAAATTGAAGAAGAAGAACCAGTAGAAACACATGCTCGTAGGTGGAGGGAAGATGAAGAAAGTAGTGATGAAGAAGAATTGGATGATGAGGTTGATATAAATAATTAAAAATATTTATTGTTATATGTTTAGGATTTTCAAAGTGAATTTTATCTTCATTATTACTACATATAATAATAATAATTTGTTTACAGGAAATTGAAAGAAGACGTGCTATGTTAAGAATGAAAGCTCAAGAAAAAGCTGCTGAAGAAGTAAGAATATATTTCAATATTTTTTGAAATCTCAAATTGAATCAAATAAAAACTAGAATTTAATCCTTTTTATTTTAAATTTTTATTTAATTTGATATGATTGTGTCCAAAGTATTCTACATTTTATTAAATAACATATATTTTTGAATATATCAGATATATATGTGTAACTTTAAAACAACCTTTAGATAATGTAGCAATATACAGTGGTTTTGTCACTATTACGATAAATCTTAATAAATGTAAATATGAAAATAACTATATTTTTTGTGTCTGTTTAATTGCTAACACGAAGCATTTTGAAATTAGGAATTATTAGATTTGGAAGAAGAAGGCAAATCTGAAGTTGAAGAAACTGAGGAGTCTGAATATGAAGAATATTCAGATTCTGAAGAAGAAATGGGTCAAAGATTAAAACCAATTTTTGTAAAAAAGTACGGAGTTCATATTATAATTTGATTAAATAATTTATTAAAGAATATTTATCAGAGTTTTATTTTAGAAAAGATCGTATAACTGTGCAAGACAAAGAACACCAGATACAAAAACAGAGAGACTTAGAGCATGAGGCCAAACGGATGACTGAAGAACGACGACGACAGACCTTAAAGGTTCTTGACTTAATTTCTTATTGTCAAATTGATTGATATTTTTACGTTAATCAACAAAATGAAGTTGAATCATCCTTATTAAAAAATTTTAAGATTTTAAGATAAAATTTTATATAAAAGTAATTTTCTTTATATTGAACATTATTTGTAAAGCATGTTTCTGATATAATACATTGCATGTTTTAGTTATCATTTATTGGGTTATTTAGAAAGTAATTTCGTTTTTTCCACGGAAAAAAACAATGTTTTTATAATAAATAAATATTTTATTGAATTATATATCGACCATTTTGGTCAAATACCTGTTATCATTTCTGGTAGTAGCGTGATTTCACATTCATTAAAGTTTTGATCGTTGCTTACAAAAAACTGATCCAAGTGATTTTTGACATTGTCATTTCAAGTAAATGTCTTACAGTTAAAAAAA